ATACATTATCCGAAGGCGGTATCGTTTAAATATTATATACTTTTTCATAATGCAAGCTGTTATTGATATTTGAATACTACAGTAAACGGAGGGCAGGGTGCTTAGCGTACACGTAAGCATGCGTGTTTCCGAGGACATGGTTTAAGTATACTAAATACTCTGTACTCAGTAGGATCTGCGTGTTACACTGACTAAAATGATAATTCCAATATATTTACTGTAAAAATATTAGCATTAATAAGTTATCTGAGTGGGTTTCTGGTATTGCTAAATCGTACATGTTACATGTACAGCAGTAGCCGGTCGTGTAGACTGGCAAAACTGTGCTTATAAACGTTGTCACTTGATCTACAAAGATAGATAGTGTTAGATTGACGTGTGAACAAAAATAAGTTATATGTGCTGATGACAATTACTACTGTAAGCGAATTGAACTTGACCATTGTTTCCTAAGCGGTTTTTTAGACAATAAAATTCTGATACTTCTTAATAGGTAGACGCGTTGCCGACAAGGGCGTAGAATAAGGTTTTATATGCAGCGGTAAGATAACAGCACAACATGAGAGGTGTCAATTATGGTTATTATAAGTAGGCCCGTAAAGAAACGTTAATCAACTTAGAGCCTGAAATCATCAATTAAGTATCAAATAAAAATACCGCCGTCAACAACAACAACAGCAAGGCGTCTTGCGTTTTATATATCAAAGGCTATAACCATAACAGGCACAGATTGGAGTGTCTAATGACTAATTCTGAATCAGCACAAAATGAACACACTTCAAGGCATAAAAAAATGCTACAGCTTGAATATTTTTATTAAATATTCAAACTGTAGCACTTTTAATTTTCTTTCAAAGTAGCGAGTTTGGTTTGCGAAGTGGTTAATAGTCAGTTTATTACAAGCTTAACCAGGCAGTACAAGCGGGTATTTGATGCAAGCTGGACAGATATTCTTTGCATTGATGCAATCTAGGTTTCAGAAACGGCCCGTGAAATCGAGCACGACGCTAAACTAAATATATTATTTAGCGATTTTAGACTGAAGTGCAGGTGCTTCTGGGTGGAAGATTAAGGTACAGTGATAGCCAACAACAATAAAGAGACTTTGCCAAGATCACTAGCGTAATCGTTTATGAGCATGGTAAGTATGATGCTAGGGGCTCAGTCTTTTGTACCGGTAGAAATATTTACACGGCTTACTGGGAGCTCAGCATTTTGTAGTAAATGAAACGCAGATTTATGAAATTAAAGAAGTCGATTTAGGCACATATGGGACTCAGAGGATTTGGACTAATTATCTCGCCGAAGCGAAGCGAAGGCGGGAAGGCAAAAATCTGGAGTAAAACCGAAATTACCGCCGCGTAGCGGCGGCGCTCGGCTAGTCTTAAACATCTACTGCAGCAACCTGTCTGTCCGTCACACTAAATTGTCGTGCCTGTCACGCTTTTCCGGACAAATCATTGGATAAAATAATTTAAATATTTCTACTGGCTGCCGAGCGCAGCGAAGGTGGCCCCGATTGGCCTAAAAGCTGCCGAGCGCAGCGAGGCGGCCCAAATCGGCACTTCTGCAACCCTGCGGGCGTATGGGCCCGCCTGAGCCACAATCTGCCAACCTACCATGCGAGTAGTGAAGCGAGCCGTAGCGAGCGGAACGGAGGCAAAACACAAGGAACGACATTCATTCTTTCCCGCCGCGTAGCGGCGGCACTCGGCTAATCTTAAACAGCTTCAACAAGATCGTACGGCGCCGCCGTATATGCTTGTGATATGTGTAGCACTGAATATTAAACAAAAAACTTCAACAAGATCGCGCGTCGTATTTACGTCGTACGTTGATGTGCTGCAACTTGCTGTAAGTTGCAGGTTTGCAAGGGGTCAACAGAATCACCAACAGTATCTATGTACTGTACTAGTAGTCTTCTACATGACCATTATTAGTAATAATGGTTGCGGTGCTGTCCATGTCTTAAAAGTTTTTACCATTGCCCCAGGTTCTTGGGGTTTGCGAAGATTGAGACGGTCAAGTTGCTAGTAGGCTTTTATTAATACGAAGTACTGTAATAGCACCACGGGGCCCTAGTACTTAGGTTATTATTATACGAAGTACTGTAATAGCACCCAACGGTGACGTGGCTTACCTAGTACTTCGAAGTATCCTTCTACTACTTTAAGGTAATACCTACCCCTTGACATTTTAATACAAATTTAACGATTCTCGAGCATTCATGTATTATAATACATATATAATAAGAAATCTTTTTTGCAGCCAATATATACGACTCTCATTTATTTATCGAAATTATTATTGATATGGGAGTCTGCAGGATTGTTTGATGGACTCGCCGTCGGTAAAGTCGAGCGAATCAGAGCACACAAAGCGAAGTCTACAAGATGCAACTACCCCTTAGCGATCAAAATCACTCCCCGCTAACTTTGTGCATTCATTTTAGCACAGTTTTGAAAATTATACAATTCTTTGATACTAGCACGAATTGCTATTACGGTTTTTCATGAATTGTGTTAAAGTGAAATTAATACTTCATGGAGGCGCTACCTTGAGTTAATACTACATGTACAGTAGCGGCTGCTCATGGGGCTGTAATGCCGTACTGTACAGTATAGAATGTACTCTTGGAAAAGTGCATACATTGGCTACGATTACTTGTATTACATTATTACCGGTAAGAGTCAAACAAAGAAAAACAACAGCGAAATTGGCACAGTACTGTATAATAAATAATGTACGACGATTCCGAGATTCGTCCAGGTCGCCATGGGCTCGGTTTCTTAGAGCCTTTGTTTAATTTTTTTTTGGAGTCTGAAATTGTTATATTATGTGGCTTTACCCAATCATAAATTAAATCACAGTTATTAACTAATATTCAAAGAGCTTACGTAAACAATACTTAACTGTCTTTTAAAAATGTTGTGCGAATTGACACGGTGCGGATTCGCGCGCTCTTTGGTGTATAACCACCTCTTATTATCTCTTTCGCCTCCTAACGCGTCATTCGATAATAAATATATACCTAGCAAGAATTCATAGTTTACGTTATTGTTAATCCCAACACCTTGACACTCGACGTCGTACTTATACGTTTTTTTCTAGGATTTACTTTACTGAAGTACCATGTTAAGGTTAATAGTGCTGTCATCCCAAAATTACCCAATGTAGCTCAATGTACGATACAATTCGTGTTGATTTCAAAACAATATTAGCGGCATATAATATCACCACATGTCAGTTGCACACCATAAATGGGCTTTACTGTGCAAATGTCTGCCGAGCCAGCTCCAATATTTACTCCGAATGAAGGGTTTTAGGTGTGCCGAAAGTAATATTGGACACTGGTTTGGGAAGTTTATCAGGGGCCAACGTTCTCATGAGGGACCTTGTCTGAGTCAGATACATTGTTTCTCGCCGTTTATAATCTACATAAAAACTTAAGCAGCTGAACTCCAGACAAAATGCTTGTTGTTATAAATTATACCAAAGAATCATAGCAGTTTCAGCAGCGTAAATGCTGTTTTCTTATTGTGAAAAAATATTTCTGTCAGAATATTCTTTAGCTGTGACTTTCTTTTTTAAATGTTTAAATATAGAATATTACAGCACAGCGCTTAAAATTCAACATCTTCAACAGTACTGACGACAATTACGGATGGTTCGTGATTTTGTCCTTTCGGCCCAAGCCGGAGACAAATAAATCCTCAAAGTTAAGCTACATTCCTGTTGATTCCTGGTTTGTTTGTAGTCTTCGTTTAAATCACAAAGATTATTTGCAACATCATTTGAAACGCAAAAAAACAGCAATAAGTGCCAATGCTCAAGCCAGAGAGGCCTACAAAACTCTTGCAAGTTAAATGACAAACTTCGGTTATAGAAACAGTAATTCCCGTGTTTGTTGTCAGCTTGACTACACCGACGGAGAGAATGCAGCTGCCACTTTCCCACTGCTTTAAGATCGGGTAGATGACCACAGCCTTTTTTTACAGTAACGAGTTACCTAGAGGTTTTGGCAAAGTTAAGGAGGCAGTTGTGTTTAGCATTAAAAGTTGGTTTAAGTGCTTTGTTAAATGCACTCGTGACGGTGGCAGCTTCAATGGATTCCCAAGCTGTTATGACACGCTTCATCGTAGTTAAGCGTGCTTCCCTAGCAGTCATTGCTGTAGCATTCTCGAGCAGCCACAGAGCCTTGAGCTTTGCTTTCAAAGGTACCATAATACCAACATCTAAGGGCTGACAAACCGAGGTTGCATTCGTAGGTAATGGCTGGAGCACATACATAAGCTCGTTCGACACAATTGTCTCATACTCGCCCGAGACATGACACTCTAAGTTATCTATGCGTAGTAGAGAAGAGCGTGTAACGTGCTGCTGCAGTAGTGAGCGTAGGTAAAACTTCCATGCGCGAGCATCCATCCAGGCTTTAGTCTGAACAGTATACACATGTCCTAGCAACCAATACCGTAACCCCCGTCAGTTAGTGAATAACAAGCACATATAAAAAATAATATAGAGAAAAAATGAACCGTCGGGGTATGTAGGCAACTCTTCTCTCTCGATGATGCCGTTTTGCTCTCCACGCACAGTGAAGAGCAGATATTCTTCACTCCCCCCTCCCCCCCCGATAGTGCAAACAGCCGTCAATTGAGCTTTTGCTGAGATGTTATAGCTGACGACTGACCTCTTTCGGATAGTATCTTGCCTGGCGGTGCGTCAAAGTAAATCCCAGTTTCGTTACAGCTAAAAACTTCGCTTGCAGCATAGCTATTGTCCTTAGACTTTTTTTTTTTTTTTAAATTTTAGCGAAATGTTTTTGTACTTCTACTTAGTCCTCCAGTTTTCCAATACAAAATTTCAAAACGATCAAGTTAGATTAATTTCATACAATTTAATTGTCCATTCACTACCTTCGAACCGTGCGGCGTGCGCTGCACGAAGCCATGCCGATACGCCAAACGTTGTAGCAACCTTTCTAGGGACCGATACGCAGTCTATTCGTCCTTCTTGCCCTTCGAATAGTCCTCCCACCACTCCAAGTGATCCTCCCGAATGTAGATGCAGTAAGCGGCAGGGACTCGCGACCTCAGAGCCTAAGCAGCGTCGGATACATTATACAATGAAGAAGAAACGACATGTTCTTAAAGCAACGTGTTTCCTTCATAAAAGTGACGAGAATAGCGCTTAACGGTATTATCTCGCGACGACCAGTAGCCCGCGACAGGTTCTTCTCGCTGCCTCGAAACGCAAAAATTTCGACTTCGTTTTTCCTCCGTGACGTTACAGAGAATCGCGGGATTTGTTTAGACATGGCTGCCTCGCGCTGACCAAACCCCGTTACACCAGCTTAATTACGCAGGCAACAAAGTCCAACCTAGCAAGTCGATGTTTAAAACGCACAATGCGTTTGGGTACACCACATAGCCACAGTGTTGCCAAAACAATTTGCACCAACGGCGATGAGTGTGAAAATTGGTAAAAGTCGGTAATAAGGCGACCCCTTTCGCTTATGCGTTATCCAAGCCCGCTGCGTTATCGCTGTTGTCGTTTTGGTTTTGGTTTGCTCCTCCGTCTTCCTCCATGCCCTCCTTCTGGAACCCACCGTCGTAAGACAATTGGTCAGTCTAACGGCAATACTAGCACTCCCTGATCTCCGGGTTTGAACCGATCCACCGCTCTGTTCTTTATACTCTCTTGGAAACGACGGAAGCTGCGTAACCTATCCTCCTTGGTCATCAGTAGCTGTCGCAGACCGTAATTTGCTAGACCTCCCGACGCACAGCCATACGCAATGATCCGTCATTTCACATCGCGCACCTTGCCTAAACGCCTGGCGCTCTGACCGCCGGTACCTACGCGTTGTCGGTTCTGCTGTCGGGGTTTGGGTAACTGGGCCTCTGATCGTCGCCATAAGCACGAGTCTGAGACTAATCGGATTGGTCGAGATACGTTTGTAGCGCTCCCAGGAGGTACCAAATGTATCTGTTTAGGAGTGGCGAGGCCGCTTCGAGCCAGTTCGAAGTGCCCTTATCACTCGTACCGCTAACAATCAGTCGGTCCTCAGTATCGTACATAGGTTGGCGTGGGCACCTCCAGTACCCCCTCGTAAGCGGCCACCACTAATCGCCAAGGACTCACCCGTGGCGTCTGTCCCCGCACGGCAGTGGGTGCTGCCGTCGCCTGCTGCGGTGCCACCTCGACCACCGTTCCTCTTCCTGTCTGTTTGCCGGTGGACGCCTCGAGGCCAACCCGGTAGCCTTCTCCATACTCGCCGACCTGGGACGCCTTAATCCGTACGGTTTCATCAAGGGTCTGCGCATAATGTCCTTGCACTGACGTCGCTGACTGCTCGCTCTGTATTCCACTCAGGAACGCATCGATTGACCGCTCTTCTTCGATTCCTCTGTCTGCCACAATTTCGCGTAACACTTGTTCGTTCGATCTTCTCGCTGATCATCTGCCGTCTGGAGCTTAAGCGATCTACGACCTCCGATGTCGACCGCTGTACATTGTATATGGCTAGTAAGAGCTGCGCCAAGCCGTCCATTGCCTGCCCCGGCTCTGGGATGGATCCAACGATGATGCCGAGCCACCACAGGGCTTCACCTTTGAAGTTTGATGACACCTCAAGGTAGAGTTGGTGCTTCTGCCAGGTCACCCGGAGCGTCGACAGCTATGGCTTGATCTCGTTTTGTAGCCACGTCGTCACAGGCATTGCTTCATCCACGCCCTTGAATGTCTGGATCCTCAGCTGTATGGGCTTTTTCCTGCGAAGCACGACAATGATCAACGGTTGCTACTGCACATTCGCTTCGGGTTGCTATTCTGGTTTGTGCAGCGCAGGATTTAGCGGTGCTGCCAGTGACTGCGGTGGTGCTGGGGGGGGTTAATCTAGCCACCAGCAGCCGAAGCCGCACGACCAGTACATCCCCTTGATCCGGCTCTACGATCGTGGACTGCCTATTGCCGCTTGTGACTGGGCCAACTGACACCCGTCATCGGTGAAAACCATCATCACCTCGATAGCGTCGTTAGTTCCAGCAGCATCCCGATCATCACGCGGATGTCCGAGCTGGGTGCCATCAGGTGCGCATCATGTCCTGGTTTTATGACAGATGCTTCCAGCTACTCCGGTCTCTTTTGCTGTTGGGGAGTGTCCTCAGCCTTCTGGCTTTGTTCTACCTCAAGTTCGTTATTTTTCTTTGTCATTGTTATGATCTAATACAGATAACGCAGTTCGTCAGGCTCCGTTCTGTAACGGGCCTGGGGTGTCCGTTACTAACTTACACGTAGTGATGAGGAAGCGTACAAGTCCAGTGATACTGACACCAAGTACTTAGTCTAAAGGAAAATGAACTCTGTTTTTATTTAGGTCCAGGGCGGCTTGCCCTGACCACTCAAATACACGTCAACTCCTTATTGGTTGATTATGGGTCTGGCTCCCCATATTTCGACCAATAGGGTGACGGCAGTTCAGCACACGCTACTCGTGTGCTGCTGCACCTACTTTTGTAATGCAAATCTACCTACTTATGTAATGGTGTGAACCACTACAAAAAACCTATAAAACTACCTACATATGTAACTTGGGAGGGCCCATTACATCACCCCCTCTTAAGACAGCAATCACCTAACGTGGGTGCACTTTGGAGAACAATCGGGAAAAACTGGGAAATGGCGGAGAAGAGAACGCTTCACGCTCTCAGGTGCGATATCAGCGGTCCACCCACTGTTCAGCGTCGTCGCCGACGCTGGAGCCGTCCGCGTTGTTCGGCTTCCTGTCTGGTTCGCCGCCCCCGTCTGCTGCGCCATGTTGTTCTCGTCCGCGCAAGTTGTATTGTGCTGCTCCTGGGCTTCGCAGGAGCTCCCGCCCGTCAAGTTCTCGAGTCGACTTGGGGTTCGGCCCGGCGTAATGAACGAGGATATGAAGCCATGGGCGCTGTACGACTTGTCCGGGGCGGGGACCGGGGACGCGCTGGACACTATGCAGGACCACGTTCGGCGCTTCAGGCGTCTCCGGAACAAAACACTCGACGGCGCGTCGTACGAAGCTTTGCAGAAATCATGGTGCGCATTTGTCCGGCGGTGGAATCGGATGCAAGAGGCTTGAGAAAGTGTCGTCGTCTGGCTCGGTGATCGTGAAGCACTACAAGCCGAGCATTCACTCGGTGATCTGCGCCTGAAAGTCTGCGACGACGCTTGGACGGAAGACCGTTTGTGCTATGTCAACGTACGCGAAGGTTGCAGTTCGTGTGACATCGGGCGACGCCCGACGCAAGCTGAGTGGGATCAGCATTTTGTCGAGTATCCGCTCATGCCGACCGGACACGCTTGGATCGAGAAGTATCAGCGCTCACTCTCCGAGTTCACCCAGGCGGCTATTCGCGGCGGCTCGCGCCGACAGCATTTGCGACGGAGCCCGTCTCCGGCGCATTCGACGCCTCGTCAGGCGCGTAGTCGATCGCCGCGAGGTCGCTCGCGGCCGCGTTTGACGCAAGGCTGGAGTCGTAGTCGTGGACGACATCAGGAACGTCACGAAGCAAGTTGGCGCGAGGCTCCCACGTATCATCAGCAGGTTGAAACCCGAGCCATCGTACCTTATACTTCCGCGCGGCGGGAGCCGCGTGTCGAGCTGACGACTTGGTCGAGTGACGCGCGCGGGGAGGATCTTCGTGATCAACAATACGGTCCACGATCCAGCACGTATCTCCATTCGAGTCAACGATGGGCGAAAGAACCGCCGCGGTGGAATTCGACGCGACCTGGTTGACCAGGACGACGTTGAGCAGGCGCTGAACACTTCTCGGGACGCACAGGAGGAGGCCGAGCGGGCGGCTGAGAGCTCTCGGAACGCCGAGGCGACGGCGAGTAGTCTGCCGCAGTCGAATCGTGAACTCTTGCAGCGACTGCGTAGTCTGGAGACGCAGATGTTTGGCGGACCGAGGGGTGGAGCTCTTCCGCGCGAGCGGGGAACTGGGACAGATGGGACGCTGGCTCGACAAGCTCGACGCGAGGGCCGCTCAACGCATGCTTCTGTTCCGCCTCCGTGATCATCGCGGGAAGATACTTCTTAAGTCGCCCGACGTAGAACGTCGGGTGTAGTCGTAGCGACGTAGGAATGTCTAGCGTGTAGGCATCACATATAACTCGTAGTACTTTGAATGGCCCAATGTAGCGCGGCGCGAGTTTGCTCGCGCCTAGGTTCGTAATAGCAGAGATACGAATTCCATCCGTTGAGAGTAATACACGCTCACCAATATTGAATAAACTTGTGTTCTTGCGGCCACGTTCGTCAGCGTTTTCCTTCTGCTTGTCAACCGCGAGTTGTAGCGCGTCACGGACGAATCGGGTAACCGATTGTCGATGAAGGGCAAAGTCGGATACCGCTGCCTTGTCAGCGGGTCGCGCTGGATGTTTCGGCGCATAGTTAGCCACAGTCGAGTGTGGCTGTGCTGGAGCGATCAGCGTTTGGTGTGTCCAGTCAACTAACGGCGACGACGTGGATTGCGCGGGTGCGAGGATCTTCTTTGACTGTAAACGCGTCACCGCGTTGATGTCTACTGCAGGAGTAGCTGAGCTCGTAGACGGCAGAACCGTTGTCTCACCGGAAACCGGTGGTTGAACCAGTATCGGAACCGGTTGGGCAGGGCTATCGCATTCCTCCCCCTCTAGAGTGAAGCCATCAGACGCCGTGGGTTGGCCCACAGAAAGTTGTGCGGGGACACGTGGATGACGCGCGTTGTTGACGAAGAACGGAGTCAATTCTGTCGACGCGTGTTCGGCATTGTTGAGTGCAAACTCCGCAAGAGGCAGGAAGGAACTCCAGTTCTTGAAGGACGGGGCGTAACTGCGCAGAACATCTTCTATCACGCGGTTGACGCGTTCCGTTTGCCCGTCAGTCTCCGGGTGTGCCGCCGTCGACATGAGGAGTTTGGTGTCCAGGAGGTCAAAGCGTTTCGTCCAGAACGCCGATGTGAATCGGGGATCGCGGTCAGAGACGATTAATTCGGGAAGACCGTGGTGTCGGAAGACAGCGTCGACAAAGTGCACCGCGGTATCGGCCGCGGTGATTGAGGCCGGAACCGGAACGAGATGGCACATCTTGCTAAAGCGACCTACGAAGGCCAGAACACCAATACGACCGTCAGTATCGGGTGGGAGACCGAATATGAAGTCCATTGACACAAAGCGCCACGCCTCTGTCGCCAGAGGGAGAGAACGCAACGGAGCTTGCGATGACGGTGACGGTTTAACACGTTGACAAGTTTCGCAGGAGCGGACCCACTTGCGCACCCACTTGTATAGGTGAGGCTAGTAGAAGTCGCGGGATACCGCCGCGAAAGTCTTCTCACGGCCCAAGTGGCCACCCACTGGAGCGTCATGGAATTCGTGTATAATTCTTGCGCGTAGATCGGGATCGTTGGGGACAACGACGCGAGGAGCATCGAATCGATCGATACTGTACATCAGCAGATCACCGTCAAGTTGGTATCTGTGAATCTGGTCGCGCGTGGAGCGGCTTAGTGTCTTTAGCGTGGCTTCACTTGGTGTGCGAAGGTGTTCCAGGATACTGGCATATATCGAGTCATCTCGATACGTGGCAGAGATCTCTTCCCGCAGGGGAAGTATTGGGGATACCGCCGTCATCTGGATCATACCTGCGGCCAAACATGTGGCACAGTCCAAATCGTCGTCGTCCTCGTCTTCAGGTGACAGACGACCCAAATCTCGGCGTGGATCGTAATCGGGGCGCCGAGATAGGGCATTCGCAAGGATGTTATTCTTGCCTGGCTTGTAGTGAACGACGAAGTTGTACTCGGAGAAGAATGACAGCCATCGTGCCATGCGCTGAGAGATGAGGGCTCTTCGTCGCTGTTCGCAGCGACGCGTGATCTGTGTAGATCGCGAATGTCTGCTCACCGAGTAAGTACACTCTGAATTTGATCAGTGCGTAGCGCATCGCAAGGAGTTCCTTGTCGTGGACCGGATAATTCTTCTCGGCGGGCTTCATCTGTCTGGATTGGTAACTCACGACGTGTTCTCGACCTTCGTCGTCGAACTGCATCAGTGCACAGCCGATGGCGAAGTCGCTCGCGTCGCAAACAACGTGGAATGGCTTTGAGTCATCTGGAAGCGCCAGGATTGGGGCCTCCGCCAAGATTTTCTTCACTGCATTAAAGGCTGACTGATGTTCGGGAGTCCACGACCACGTGATGTCTTTCTTCAGCAATGAAGACAATGGCTGGATCATACCAGCGTAATTTTTCGTGTACTTGTGGAGATAATTTGCGAGGACAAACCACTGACGCAATTCAGTCTGATTCTGCAGCGTGGACCACGCACAGATGGACGAGACCTTCTCAGGATCCGCTCGGACACCATTTTTGCTCAGATAACAGCCAAGCACCGGAATCTTCGAGGCACAGAAGATGCACTTCTTCAAGTTCGCGTACAGTTTGTTTTCGCGCATGATTTGGAACACTTGTCGTAAGTGATTTAAGTGAACTTCTGTGGAGCTGAGATCGCCCAGCGCGGCTGTGAACGAAG